AGAAAACGTATCCAAATCGCTTAATAAGTTTAATTTTTAAATTAAAATAACTGGTTTGATCACAGTTGAAGTCAGATTTTTTATTATAAAACACAATCTTAATTATATGAAGTCCAACGTAACATACTCGTATTTGTTGTATTTGGACCCACTTACTAAGTACTCTTGTGTATATTTTGACAGCTTTACTAAGTACTCTTGTGTATATTTTGATAGCTTTACTAAGATACTGAATTACTAATAAATTCCTAGATCAATTGCATTTGTTTTTGTTTAAATTCCATGTAAGTATACCTACAAATATCCCTTGCACTGTGTGTGTTCCGGCATAAAATAGGCTTCCCCTTCCTTTCCCATGGATGTCGAAAGAGAGGACTAGGAGAACTTATGGTCTAGTTATTGGTAGCAGCGTCTTTCTTGAACTATCTATGAGCCTAAATGCGGTTACCAACCCATTTGCCGAGCGTGGTAACTACTGGGAAAATTCACCAGTGGACAGTTACCGGCTGATATAAAATATACCTCAAAATACAATTATTATATTATACTTAATTTATAATTACTCCTCTCCATCCAAAGGTTGCCTGTAAGAGATCGCTCTTAGCGATAAGGTCGCCCATTGTTTTCATTGTGATTATTTCTTGTAATTATTTGTATTTTTAATAAGTTTACTATTGTAATCTTTTGGAGGAAACAATAAAGAATATCTATCTGTCTATATTAATTGAAAGTATTTCGAATTCCTAATTTTTTTTTTATTATTAATGCATTACAAAGAAACATTATATTAATCTCCTACCATCGTTTTTGCAAAATTCATTCAATTTCAATTAAATATTTGACTTTTTTATTGGTTTTGATATTGATATTGGTATCGCTACGCTTGTCTATGGTCGGGTTAATTATCGCTTTATTTGCTTTTTAATTAAGTTCCATTGAAACAGAGTATAAAAGCATCAAAATCAATTGAGAATAACTGTACGGGGTTTGGTTTTTTAATTACAAGCGTAACTTCCGTATGAAGTTTGTCGGAATGTGGCAACATTGGAAATATCTGTCGATTTTTAAAAATAATTAAACGAAATATATATATATATATATATATATATATATATATATATATATATATATAATATATATATATATATATAGTAGATACATTGCGATTTTTGTAGTATCTCAATAAATAATAAAAATTATATTAGAAATATTAGTTTTAGTTACAGTTTGTTATAAGAGGACTATAAACGGTTAGAAATATTGTTATATTTTTTAATTGGTGATGATAGACTGGTAACCCCGCCTGCTCTATCGGTGTACGCTGATGGGGCACCAGTGAGGGCTGATAGGTGAGAATGAAAAGGTCAGGTCAGTTAGTCCATCGTGATGAATGCACCTGGGAATCAGCGAGATTGTTTCAAGAGGGGACTATGTGGCGGTCGATCTGTTAGGATATAACTGGTAGTCCACATTACTAATAATCCCTCCCACTCCCCCCTCATATGGGTAGATTACTTTTTAGGCCAGTCAATCAATATATCTCAATCATAAAAAATAAGTCGTAATTTTATATAATATTAATAGTATCGTGTTTCCACCTTAAAATTAAATTACTTACATTACATTATTATATAAACGTATGTTCCAAATTTTAACTTTCTAGACTGAATGGAATAGTTTTGGTTATGGGTTGTTTTGCCAGTTAATGCCACGTGTGACAGGCAGGCTGGCAACCGCAGTTAGGCATTTAGTGGAGTTTTGAGACGGATGCTACTTTATTTAATGTTAATAAATCTTCTACTTCCTACCCTTATTCCAATTATTATTTGTGGTCGGCGTAATATGTTTTTTATCCATATTACAAAAAGATTTGACTCATATTTTTACGACCAACCGCCTGCCTGACGTCAACTCTCTTTAGGAATGCATTTATTGGTGGTTTCCGCCACCTACGGTATGGAGGAAAAGGGAAGAAACGTTGAAAATGCGTAAAGGAAATTGGTAAGATAATCGGACAGATTTTTAGAGAAGAACACCCCTAACACGTGTAGTAATAATATTTCACAAAAAAAAAACGCCGATTTCAATCTAAGTGGAACAAGATTAAAAAAATAAACTACGACCTGACCAATCTGAATATAGCTATACATCCTTTCAGATAAAAAAAGGATTTATAAATTACGGAATTTCGAAGTAACAAACATAAAAAATATCTAAATACAAGCTTTGAACTGAGAACACTATTTTTTTATAAATTCGGTCGAAGAAGAATTAATTAATAAAAAAATTTCAAATAAAAAAAAATTCGATATAGGAATGCCAAAATGAAATATGGCGAGAAAAATGCCAGGTGTTTATTCTCATGCCGAGAGACTGTCAAAATTACAGCGTTATGATATTAGGTAATTACCTAAATAATATTTTTGCATTATAAAACAATCATAAGGAAACACGACTCCATAAAAGATTGGTCACAAATCCTTCATTATAAATAGAGTACTGGGGAGAGAAAGGATTGTCAGTAACGGAACTTAATGACATCATTTCTATCAATATACCCTATCAGGTTGACCTCCACGTTGTTCCCCTGGAAAATATCGTAGTTAACAACAAATTCACCATGATTGATCAACTATAAAATTTCAACTTTAAAATTACCTCGCATTAATGTAGTTCTACATTCCGGAATGACAAAATCTTTAATTACTATACTTTTGTATCAATAATTCCCTTTATGAAAATATACTACTAAGATATTATGTATTATTTTTTATGTATCAATGTTTTAAGTATGTGAGGTATTTTATAAAATTAGGATACGATAAGGCTGACATGTCCTTATAGGATAAAAGCCTCTAAATAAAAAAGATAAGAAAAAAAAACTAAAATTTCATTGATTCACCAATAAAAAAATCCATACACCAAATTTCTTTCAAATCCATTCAGTAGTTTTTACATAAAATAATCACAAACAAACATCCATCAATACATTCTTATAAACTTTCGCATTTATAATAGTATTGATTGGCAAATAAAGATATAAAATAAACGAAACTTCTATCTGCTTATATACTAGGCCGTTGGAGATATTAAATCCAAAGTAAACATAATAAAACCAGCCTGTATAGCTATATTACCTTCAGCGTTTCACAACCGCTCAGAAATAAAACTTATTCACCTAAGTAGGTGGCCCTTTTAATATCTCATTTCTTTGCAATACTTTTGTGGATTGCTTTAAATCTTTTGTTCTTAACAACTTGTTTTTGTATTATTTAAAAAGCTTAAAATTTCAATTGGATAATTTTCCACCAAAGAAAATTGTACTTGAATAATTTTATGGCTATTTATTTGTCTTTTTGTAGGATCTTGGTGAAAGTTCATTGGTTTAATAACATAATGCTCTTACACGGTCAACTTAAAAGAAATTAATTTTGTTATTATTAAATTGTTAATTTTAAATATTTAATTGTTATAAGTGGCTCGACAAAGAAGAGCCATAATTGGAGCAGTCTGCTGATGTAGGCTGAATAGATAGAAAGTTTTTTTTTTTATACAACTTAGAATGGCAAACAAGCTGACTGCCCACCTGATGGAAAGTGGTAACCGTCGCCTATAGACATGAGCAATACCATGGACATAACAGAGTATACTGTATCGCACATGATTCCCCCCATGCGTTGCCATTCCTGAGAACTTAGGTACTGTAAATTCTGTACCCTGTAAATTCACTGCCATACCCCATCCTTCAAACCGAAACACAACTGCTTCACGGTAGAAACACGAGTGGGACAGAGGTGCCCAAGCAAACGATTTTGTACAAAGTCTCCCTCTGGTAAATAGTAAATAAGTTAAAAAAAGACCTTTCCAATAACCTGTTAACACTCGTAATTTAGAATTTCTGAACATATTATGAAACAAAGCCCTCCGCCATGTCTCTGTACGTTCACTTTGATCTTAAAACTACTAAACGGATTTTCAAGCTTTTTTCATAAATTAACTTCATTGTAGGTACAATGTACACATTTATAAGGTCATAAACTAGATTATATTTACCCAGCCAGTTTCTGTTTTCGTTATTACAACAAATCACAGAAACCAGTTATCTGTGGCGAGCAAGCAACATTTGCAATAAATTAAGTAGGCAATTAGATATAGATCTATTAACCACTGCTAAATAACTACAGCCAGGAACGTACAGAGTAGGAAATGTTTTGATTAAAAGTTATCTGTAATCACTCCATTTCTTTTATGTAACCTTGTTTGTTTTATAATACTTTTTTTTAATGGATGATAATGGAATGGTAACCCCGCCTGCGCCATCGGTATACGCTAACGGGGCACCAGTGAAGAATGATAGGTGAGAATGAAAAGGCAGGTCAGTTAACCAATCGTGATGAATACACTTAGAATTCAGCACGATGGTTTTCAGCGGGGACCACGGGGAGGTCGAATTGACAGGGTATATTGCTAGCAATGGGGCTGGTAGACCGCATTACTAACAATACCTTCTTCCCTAGTCCAGATGTCGTACTTACAGTTATTTGTTGCTTCCTTATAACTGGATTGGTTCCTCATAACACTGGATAGACTTATTACTCGAGGAATGGGCAGTAGCATCTCTCTTAATATCACCAAAAGCCAAACTGCGGTTACTAATTGGTAACCGCCTACCAAGCGTGGCGACTACAGGCAAAATCCTCCTAATGGTAAACTGTCATGAGGAACGCCCCCGTTCCTTATGGCAGTTTATGGGGAAGGCCTACGTACAGCACTGGACAGATAACAGCTGGAATGATGATGATGATGAACACAGGATATCCTAGCTTGAGGACCGCGAAACTGATGTCATTGTGTCTCTCTCTCTTCGTCCTCTTCATTACTGAAGGTCGTGTCCTTGAAAGGTGTCCGTTGCCTCTCTTATGATGTTATTCCATTGTGCACAGTCTTCAGCTTTGTCATTGTGTAGTACTTACTTATATTATTTTTTCACTTGTCCTCAGATCGGGTGGAAGTACACGAACGCATGGCTTGTTGGCAACTCCCTCTGCAAACTGCTGTTAGTGCTGAGGGCGTTCGGCCTTTACTTGTCTTCCAATGTTCTCGTTTGTATCTCCGTTGATAGGTGAGCATTAGTATTATTATATAGTATTTGATTATAAATAATATATACTTACTTTATTTTCATTTTAATTAAAGATAAAGATATATTAATTTAACAAAGTATATTCTAAAAATTTTTAATATTCTAAAATCTATTATTATATATATATATATATATATATATATATATATATATATATATATATATATATATATAGTTATTATATATTCATATATATATATAATTTTACTTTTAGTTCATTAATTTTACTTTTTTTTTTTAAGTAAATAGAAGAAGAATAGAAGAATTAGGAACAATTATTTTAAACAAACAATTTGAACAATTTTCTGTATTAATCTATAGTAACGTAATTTCTTTTTTCTTATTTTTAACGACAGGTTTAGATTTAATTCTGCTGAGGCATATTTTCCATTTATTAGATAAAATACACTAATATGGGAACCATTATTTTCTGCTTTGAAATAAAAATTACCAATAATTTTGTATTTGCAGGTTCTTCGCTGTGCTGTACCCCCTGAGGCTACCGGTGGCCAGGCGGCGCAGTAAACAGATGCTGTACTGCGCATGGGCAGTAGCATTAGCGTGTAGTCTACCACAGGTAAAGTAATTTCAAATTTACAACTTGGTAGTACCAGGTTTTTTTTTTAAATGAATGATAAAATGGTAACCCCACCTGCGCTATCGGTATACACTGGCGGGGCACTAGTGAAGGATAATGAGAATGAAACAGGTCAGTTGGCCCATCATGACGAATTCATCAATAATTAAGCAGGATAGTTTCCAGGGGGAACCGCGTGGAGGTCGATCTGATAGGGTATATTGCCAGCAATAGGGCAGTCAGACCCCATTGCTAACAATCTCTTTCCCCCCGGTAGGACCAAATTTCAAATATTTTTCCAAAAAAATATTTCAATGTTTTCTCCCACGAACGCTCAAATTATGGAATGAGCTCCCTGTCGAGGTTTTTCCACGAGACTACAGCGTGGAGTTGTAAACATAGATAAGACAATATATTTAAGTAATTAAGGCCATTTGTCACAAATAATTTATAGAAAATGCTCTTCAACTTAAGTATATGTTACGCAATATGAATATACCCTACAGTCTTCAAAAGGGGTGTAAAGAAGCTTCTTCAGTAATGTCTCTGGTATTCCCAACGTTCATAGGTTACAGTAACCGCTTACCACCAAACCGGTCATATACTTGTTTACCACCTCAATAGTATAAAAAAAAAACAATTAGATATGGCAAATGAGCTAACTATCTAGGACTTTTTTTTTAACAGATGATAATGGAATGGTAACCCCACCCGCGCTTTTGGTATACACCGGCGGGGCACCAGTGAAGGATGATAGGTGAGAATGAAGTAGGTCAGTTAGCCCATCGTGACGAATTCAACAAGAATTGTTCACAATGGTTTCCAGGGGAACCACGTGGAGGTCGACCTAATAAGGCATATTGCTAGCAATGAGGCTGTCAAACTCCATTGCTAACAATCCCTTTCCCCCAAACTATCTAGGACTAGACTAGGATATCATAAAAAATATAGTTATGCCCCTGATAATCCGCATGTGTTGGGAAGTAAGGAATTGTTAGTAATAAGGTCAAACAGCTCCATTATTAGCAGTCTATCAGGTCGACCTCCACGCGGTTTTCCTTGGAAACTATAGTGGTTAATTCTTGTTCAATTGGTCACTATGGGCCAACTGACCTGCCTTCATCCTCACTTGTCACCCTTCACTGGTACCCCGCCAGCGTAAACCGATAGCGCAAGCGGGGTAGCTATTCCATCTTCACCCATTAAAAAAACTTTAAAGAAACCTGTTTTTGAAGGGGCCCATACTGTAGTCTAAAAAAATATATAAATAAATATAAATAAAGGTTTTCGGCAGTGAGCTCATTTCACAGCCTGAGCATTCACAAAAATTCCTCTGAAACCGCGCTGTACGCGACGTGGTTTTAAAACGTTTCCAAATCTTCATTTCCTGCTATGTCACGTATATCACAAGTATATAAAACTTATAATTTTATTCATATAAATTTTTTTATCTATACTTATAATAAATCTGTAGAGAGGTCAATTCTGTACATGAAATATATTTCCAAAATAACTATCAGCGGGTGATTAGTGATCGATACTGATGCCAAAATTGCAATCAGTGAAATTTTTGTCTGTCTGTTTGTTCGTTATACAAACAAAAACTTGGTACAATTCTCCATACTCCTGGGCAGGTTATTACTTTTCATTACGCTACGATCAACAGGAGCAAAGCAGTGAAGGGAAATGTTGGGAAAACGGGAAAATGTATAAATTTCGGTTAGACATATATATATATATATATATATATATATATATATATATATATATATATATATATATATATATATATATATATATATATATATATATATATATATATATATATATATATCTTCAGAGAGCATACAACGCCTTGCGTCACGGCATCTCATCTCGCAATACAGGCTGTAGTACGTAGAGCCCGTGAAAACGTCGTTGCGGGCGAGATTATTAAATTATATATACACAGCGTTAAAAAATGAAAATAAGTTTCAAAAATAATTTCATTTCTACGAACCACTCCATCCAATAAAGAAATAGATTATTGAATAAAAATGGAACGATCACTTCTCTACGTTATTGATTTACGCTAGTGGATACTTAGTGAGAGGAGACAGGTGAGGACGAAGTGAAGTCAGTTAGCTCTTTGTTGTAAAATCAAGATAGTTCACAGACTAGACAAGTAATATTGCTAGCAATAGGGCCTACTGGCCCTCGTCACCTAATATCACTGAAATGATCATCCCATCGTGATATAAAATACCAATGCAATGTATAATTAATACATATTAAAGTATGAAAGTAGCGGGGGAAAGGGATTGTTAGCAATGGAGTTTGACAGCCCCATTGCTAGCAATATGCCTTATTAGGTCGACCTCCACGTGGTTCCTCCTGGAAACCATCGTGAACAATTCTTGTTGAATTCGTCACGATGGGGTAACTGACCTAATTCATCCTCACCTATCATCCTTCACTGGTGCCCCGCCAGTGTATACCAATAGCGCGGGTATACCATTCCATTATCATCCATTTAAAAAAAAAGTATGAAAGTAGCGCCAGCGATAGAAAAATTAAGAAGTAACTATCTGTGCCGGTATAGACACGTGATGCGCAGGGATGAGGAGCAGGTTTTAAGGTATTAATAATAAATGTGGATGGCTATAAGGGTAGAGGAAAACTTGAAAAGATATGGATAGACTGTGTGAAAGATGATATGGCCAGATTGGGAGTGAATGCGGAAATTACTGCAAATAAAGAAGAATGGACGGGAAAACATATTACGCCGACCCTAAATAATAATTGGGATAAGGTTAGAAAGATGACAATGATATTTTTTATTTTATTTTATTTTATTTTATTGGCACATAAAACAGATCACAACCATAAAAAACTTAAGTAATAATGACATTTATGATTTGGCTATAATTTTTTTTTTTTTATACAACTTAGAATGGCAAACAAACTAATGGCCCAACTGATGTAAAGTGGTAACCGTCGCCTATAGACATAAGCACTACCATGGACATAACAAAGTATACTGTTTCGACCATGATACCCCCCATGCGTTGCCATTCCTGAGGACTCAGGTGTTATTCCTCTGTACCCAGTAAATTCACGCCATATCCCACCCTTCAAACCGAAACACAGCCATGCAAACACAACTGCTTCACGGTTGAAACACGAATGGGACAGAGGTACCCAAGCAATCGACTTTTGTACAAAGTCTCCCTCTGGTAAATTATTATTATATCTAGTAATTACATTATGTGCACAGCTTGAGCAATTTATTAAAAACAAACACATAAATGATAATGATAAGATGATATGAAATTAATACATAGTTTAAACAAAACTGTTGAACAAAATTAATATAATGAATCTATAGTTTTATTAAACTTCACGAAGTTCATATTATATCAATTACTAGCGGCCCGGTACGTGCTTCGCTACGTATAAAGTGAAATAAAAAAAAAATTAACATCAATATCTCTGACAATTTGCTTTAATCGAAGCATGTCCAAGATGAAATGACCGCATAAATGACATAACAACATGCTTGTACTGTCAACACTGGAAAAAGTTTCAATATGACAGCACAATCCCTATCTTAAAAAAAGTTTGAATTTGACACAAAACTCCCCATTAACAAAATGATCCGCCATTTATAGAATTCATTTGTTACAAAAAAATCTGATAAAAATAGAACCGATTTTGTGCAAACTTCACATAAACCATCTACTAAATAGTACGAACAAAGCCGAAACATTTGGTTTGGATAGGTGAACCCGTTCTTGAGTTATAAAATTACAACGAAAAGTGGTATTAATTTTTATATATAATATATAGATTGACTACGATCGTTTGATTCTGATAAAATATGCTAAAATTTACTTCTACACTTATAAACTTGCCAAGTTTCACTAATTGTAGACCGAGGTTGTATGGAAATTGTTCTATTGGTTTAATAAAGCAAAATATTTAACATTACTCTCAGTTTCGCTGTAAGTTTGTGAATTTTTAATTTAATTAATCCAAATCAAAAGGTTGGAATGTTTTAAAACTCTCTCCTATTAATATACGTATTATAAATGTGGAATTATTTACAGATGTTTCGATTTTTGGTGCTCAACTACTAGTTTGAATGACTAGGCAGTTTTCAATGAAATTACTTGCCTATTCGATTTAGTGTGCCCTAAGTTTCACATTATGTTCTTTTCTTTATAAGCCTATTTAATAAACAAAATTGCAAGATACAGTTAATATAAAATTATTCTCTATATTGTTTTTATTTCATTGTTGACTGGTTTTTTGTACTAATAATTTATATAATAATTTAATATACATAATTTTTTTCTTTTTTCTATATTCAATTTTTTTTTTTTATACGTTTGTTCCGTTTGGAACAGGCTAAGGTCGGAGACCATGCTGCCTAGTCTTCAAAAAGATAATTTGTCTGGAATTTTCTATATTCAAGACCTAACCATAGTGCAATTTTGACATTTAAAAACGATAAAAATATACAGAGTAATGCAAATGTACTTATTCATTTATCTTTTTGTCCGCCACTGAGCATAATTATGCTACGAAAATTTAATTAACACGACATTGGTATTCTGTGAAGCCATGTTGTGACAAAATACAAACACAAGAGAAATAAATAAAATAATGTCAAATAATAAAAAACAGCAACTAAAGTTACGTGCAAAAACGGATAAATAATAAAGTCTTCCCGTTTTACTTTATTTTTCCTTATAGGCCATTAGCACATAAGTGATTGACTTATAGATATATCGCTCTAATATAATTATTACTATATGTGGTTTTCTCTCTTACATTGCCAATTTTTATATACATTGTCACTTCCGACGCTATTTTACTTTATTCTCTCCCTCGCACATAAATTTTCATCCCCAGTTTATCTTTAATAATGGCCTTAAAAAATATGGGGTGTTTGTCGGAATAATATGAAAAAGGTATTTATTTCTACAAAATAATGAATTAAGACAGCAATTTTTCAT